AAATCATATATTAGTTGGCTACTCCCACAAATTTTGTGCCACCATCGCCCTGCCATAACTTGTAGGCAAGACACCATTTTTGATCCAAGGGTTTGTGGTTAGGTTGATGTTTATGTTTTTCCTTTGGTAGCATGCAACCTGTAGTCTTGGCAGTTGCATGGACTGTTTGGAGGTTCTTATGTTATCCTTTGTGACTCTATTAGGTGTCACCCAACCCTGCTATTTGAAGCTTCACTTGGTAATATGAGATGCTAGTTGGGGACATATATACCTCAGTATTTGGTGATTTCATTTAGATCATATATATGATATATATATATTTATATATATATATCATATATATATATAAAACACACACACACATATATATATATATATACACACTTAGGAAGATTTTACTGTGCTAGGTAGGTTTCCATACTGTCCCACAAATGGCACTTAATTTTTCTCTCCTCATAGATTTCCTCCCTTATTCCTCTGTACATTTCTTATTCTCCTCCCCACTTCATCCTCAATAACTATTGTATTTTCCTTTTCTAGTGAAATCTATCTTTCCTCCCTAGTCTCTTAACTCTAGTCCTAACCTCTGTAGCTTGCTTATCATTGACTTAACAGCTAATACCCACATATAAACTGAGCCATTTTGAAAGGTACAAGATAAAAATCTTGAAGTAGTTTTGATTTGCATTTCCCTGATGACTAAGGATGTGGGATATTTCTCTAAGTGTTTCTCCTGTTTGAGTTTCCTCTTTTGAGATTTCTCTTTAGCTCTGCATCACAATTTTCAGTTGGCTTATCCATTTTTTGGATATCTCCATCAGTTATTTAATTATTCAGGATTGCTTTAGCTATTTTGGGTTTTTTTGTGTCTTCATATGAAGCTGATCATTGTCCTTTCAAGATCTGTAATGAATTGTGTTGTAATTATGGGTATTTCATTGAATCAGTAGATTGCTTTTGGTGGGATTGCCATTTTTATTATATTAATCCTACTGATCCATGAACATGGGAGATCTTTCTTTCTTCTGATACCTCCTTTAATTTTTTCTTTGGTGTCTTAAGACAATTTTATCATACATGCCTTCCACTTTTTTGCTTAAAGTTACCCCTGGATATTTTATATTATTTCAGCCAATTGGGAAATGCCATTTCCTGATTTATTTCTCAGTCCATTTGTCAATTGTGTATAGGAGTGTCAATTGTGTATGTGAGTTTTTGGAGTTAATTTCACAATGAGCTACTTTGCTGAAAGTGTTTATAAACTATAGAGATTTCTTGTGAGACTTTTAGGGTTACTTATATATCATATCATCATCTGAAAATAAAGATACTTTGACATGCTCACTTGCAATTATATCCCCTTAATTTCCTTCAGCTATCTTATTGATGTAGCTACAATTTCAAGTACCATATTAAATTGCTTATTTGATCTTGATTTAACTTTGGCAAGTGTTATGTATTGAGAAATTTACTTTGTTTTTTAGATTTTTATATTTTGGTGAAGTACAGATTTTTCAAATTATGTCCTTATTATTCTCTCCATTTCCTTGGTGTCTGTTGTTGTGACCCCCTTTTCATCTCTAATATTGTTAACTTGGGTCTTCTTTCCTGCCTTTTATTTATTCTAATAAAGGTTTGATAACCTTGTTTTCTCAAAGAACCAACTCTTTGTTTCACTGATTCTTTTTATTGATTTTTTTTGTTTCTATTGTATTGATTTCAGCCCTGGGTTTGATTATATCTTTCTGTCTTCTTCTATTGGTGTGTGATTTCTTCTTTTCGTTTTAGACCTTACAGGTACGCTACTGAGTTGCCACTACGAGAGCTCTTTCTCTCTTTCTAAATAAAGGTACTTAGTGCTATGAACTTGCCTCTTTGTGTCTCACAAATTTGGCTTTGTTATATGTTCATTTTTAGTCAATTCTAGAAAGTCTAGTTTCTTACTTAATTTGTATATTGGCCAATTTTTATTCAGTAGCGAGTTGTTCAGTTTCCATTAGTCTGTAACCTTTCTGCTGTTGTTTCTATGCAATTTCAATCTTTGATGGTCAGATAGGATGCAGGGTGTTATTGCAGTTGTCTTGTATCTGTTGAGACTTTCTTTGTGTCAGAGTATGTGGTCAATTTTGGAGTAAGTTTAATGTTGTTTTGAGAAGATATATTATTTTGTGTTTGGGTGACATGTTCTATAAATATCTGTTTATTCATTTGGTTTTTAACATTAGTTAGCTCTCGAATTTCTGTGTTTAGTTTCTGTCTGGATGACCTATCTGTTACTGAGGGTTGGTTATTGAAGCCTCCCTCTGTAGGTGATTGAGGGTCAGTATGTGTTTTAATCCATAGTAGTTTTTCTTTTACATTCAATCATACCAGCATTCTCTTTTGTCTGGCACATAGATTATAAGCATTGAAATGCCCTCTTAGTGGATTTTCTCTAGATGAGTATGCAGTGACCTTCCCTATCTTTTCTGATTAGTTGTGGTATGAATTCTATTTTGTCAGATATTAAAATGGCTGCATCAGGTTGCTTTTTAAGTCCATTTGCTTAGGAATATCTTTTTCCATCCTTTTACCCTGAGATAATTTCCATCCTTGATGTTAATGTCTGTTTCTTGTATGTATCAGAAGGATGGATCCTGTTTTTATATTCATTCTGTTATATTCATTCTGTTAGTCTGTGTCTTTTATTTGGAAATGGAGACCACTGATGTTAAAAGACATCAATGAACAGTGACATTGATTATTATTTTTTTTTGTTGTTGTGGTGGTGGTGGTAGTGTTGGTGGTGATTGTGGTGGTGGTATGAGTGAGTGCATGCTTGCATGCGTGCGTGCATGTGTGTGTGTGTGTGTGTGTGTGTGTGTGTGTGTGTGTGTGTGTGTGTGTGTGTATTTCCTTGCTTTTGATTTTCAGGTCTGGCATTATTTATTCCTTGTGTTTTCTTGTATGTCGTTAACCTCTTTAGGTTGGAGTTTTCCTTTTAGTACCTTCTGTACTGGATTTAGATATAGATACTATTTAAATTTGACTTTGTTATGGAATATCTTGTTTTCCAAATCTATGGTGATTGAAAGTTTGGTTGGGTAGAGTAGTCTGGGTTAGTGTCTGTTGTCGTTTAGGGTTTGCAAGGCATCTGTCCAGGCCCTTCTGGTTTTTAGAGTCTTCACTGAGAAGTTGGTTATAATTCCAATAGGTCTTCCCTTTATATGTTACCTGATCTCTTTCCATTGCAGCTTTTCATATTATTTCTTTGATCTGTATGTTTGGTGCTTTTATTTATTTTGTGGGAGGGGACTTTCTTTCCTTATCCACTCCATTTGTTTCTGTCTGTTTCTTATACCTTGATAGACATCTCCTTCTTTAGGGTAGGGGTGTTTACTCTTATGAATTGTTGAAAATGTTTTCTGTCCTTTGAGCTGGGTTTCTTTTCCTTCCTCTATTCTTATTATTCTGAGAATTGGTCTTTTCATATTGTCTCAGATTTCCTGGATGCTTTTGGCAGGATTGTTTTATTTTAAGGTCTTTGTCTTGTGTTTCAGCTATGGTGCAATTCTCTGGGTCTACTGTGCTAGGGTTGCTAGGCTCTGGTGGAGGCATATTGTCCTGTTTGTGTTTTTATGCTGGAGTCTAGCCATCTGGGTTTGACAAGATTCTAATCTAGGTGTTAATATCTGGTCTTGTCTTTTTTGGGTGGATATTTTGTTCCCTAGTTTTGTTTGTTTGTTTGTTTTGTTTTTGTTTGTTTATTTTTTCTCTCTGGCTTTTAGGGCAGTGTGCTGGTTGTATGTTGCCTGGTAGGAATTCTTCTAAGATCCTGCTCTATGTGGCCACAAGAAGGGAGGAAAGCAGGGTGTTACATCAGGATCTACTTAGTCTCCCAGAAATGGCAGTGGAGTGAACAGAATCAAAGCAGGTGGTCTGCTACAAAGCTCTTGGAATGAGACTCAGGGATTGAACTTGGAAGAGCTAAGAGAGAGGTGAAGATCTCTAACTAGCCTACCTGTCTCCCTAGCTTGAATGATTCGTGGGTTCCCAAGGATTGCCCGCTGGATTTATGGCTTAAATAAAGTCATGAGTGTAGGGAGGATAATTAGAAGGGGAAGATCTAGGTGATCCACTGCAAATGGGTACAAAGAATGAGGAGAACGAGTGGCAGGTGGTCTGCTTCAGAGCTTGGGATGAGACTGGGGGGTTGGATTTGGAGGAGATGAGGGATAGAAGATCTACAGAATACCTATGTGTTTCACTGGCCAGATTTGAAATTTTAGTTCTTATAGAGGAATTTTGAACATGCGAAGAAAATAAAAGTTTATTTGTAAATAAAAAATCTTAGACTCCATGTTAAAACCCTTCAAAACCTCTGAATAATAGTGTGTAAGATTTGTGCATATCTTTAGATTTAAACAGATATTTTATCTTTTAAAATATCTCATGAATAATAAATAATTGGATTTAAAAGCTCCTTTACCTCCTTTGTGTAAAATGCTTCCATAACCAACAATAGATGCTTTCTGCAGACATTTTCATATCAGTTTATACTTTTGTTTTGAGATAGGAAATGGATCTTTTTTCATAGAGAAAGCACATTCTCAGTTTCCTGGAGCTCACATTAAAATGATTTGTAATTCTGTAGTCAAGATCACCACTGGTGTCTTTGAGATCAGGGAATCTTTTTAAGGACCATGTGAAAGGCAGCACCTTCTCTGCTCTGCCTCAGGGAATGTAGAAGCCTCAGATTTAACTGGGCAGGGTTTCTTCTGTGCTTCTGTTTTATCAACTAGTAGTAAAACAAAGTAATTTAATGGAGTTTTGTAAAACGTGTGAAATATAAATGCAATTTAAAAATTGTAGATGCTTTCACACCTTGACATTGTGTTTCCATTGAGGTTTTGAGGAATATTTTAGTATTTATGATGTCAAAACTATTTGCTGTAGTATCACTAAACTCCACACATTGTTTTCAAAACATATTCTTTTCTTTTTGTTTTGTTTTCAACTAGGACCCCTACTATGGCTGGTGGCCTATTTTCTATTGACAGAAACTACTTTGAAGAGATAGGAACTTACGATGCAGGAATGGATATCTGGGGTGGAGAGAATCTTGAAATGTCTTTTAGGGTAATTGAATTTTTCTTTATTTTTAAATTCTGAACATAGTATGTGGTAGCATGCATCATCACACCCAATAATTTACTGTAAATTTCTCAAAGTGATGCAACTTACTGATCATATGGTCAATGTATGTTTATTTAAAACCTTTACTAGAGTCTTATTGCATGCAAACTTTACTGTTAAATTTGGAATTTTACACTTTCAAATCATTTTCATTTATAGTCAAAATGTATTAGGGTATTCCTTTGTTGGAGTAGAGTGGTTTCATTTTCTGATTGACGCATTTCTCCTTAAACCAATCTTGTGTTCTTTAACTCATGTTTGGAAGTGTTCATGTGACCAGAATTGCAAATGCTGCATGAACTTGTTCTTAAGGAACTTTAAGATCAACTATGGTCAAAGGATTCTGATAATTCTGCAAGAAGCATGACTGTTCCAGCAACCACAGACATTAATACTTAACAAATTTTTGAAAAATACAAATTCACTTAATATAAGAACTTCTATGCTGTGGAATGTTCTGTATGGCAAATGTGTTGCTAATTAGTTAATAAATAAAACACTGATTGGCCATTGGCTAGGCAGGAAGTGTAGGCGGGACAAGGAGGAGAATAAAGCTGGGAAGTGGAAGGCTGAGTCAGAGAGACACTGCCAGCCGCCATGATGAGAGACAGCATGTAAAGATACTGGTAAGCCACGAGCCATGTGGCAAGGTATAAATTAATAGAAATGGATTAATTTAAGCTGTAAGAACAGTTAGCAAGAAGCCTGCCACGGCCATACAGTTTGTAAGCAATATAAGTCTCTGTGTTTACTTGGTCGGGTTTGAGCAGTTGTGGGACTGGCGGGTGAGAGAGATTCGTCCTGACTGTGGGCCAGGCAGGAAAACTCAAGCTACACTTCTAAATAAATGAGAACTGAGAACAAAGTTTATATAAGGTCATTTAATATTTTATAGGCAAAATTGGAAATGCAGCCCCCCAAAAGTATCTTTAGTCTAAGAAATAGATAAGAGGTTTCACGTATTTTACCTTCAACTGCACGTATTATTTTAAAGAACTATTTTAATGAGATTAACTATTCCTTAATAAAATTTAATACAAAGCACTTAAAACAATATACTTTTTAACAAAATCAATTGTAAAATTTAATGGGTAGAGTCTGGGTAGGTTTATGTAACCAGCTGAAAATTAGTTTTGACCTTCAAGTTGAAAGTCTGTTTTCCACTAACACAAAATTGTGTGATACTGTTTAAAAAATTGTTAAAATTGGGGGAATAGAAAGATGGCTTAATGCATGAAAATACTTGCTGTTCTTATAGGCTCTAAAAGAGGATTCAGATTTAATTCCCAGCACTCTCATGGTGCTTCACAATCATCTATAACTATAGTTCTGGACATATATCATCCTCTTCCAAATGATGCAGGCACCAGGCACACATGGTGCACACACACATACATACATACATATATATATATATATATATATATATATATATATATATACACACATATACATATATGAAGAAAAATAAAAATAAAATTTAAAAATATCCAAAAGATGGTCATTAAATTATTGAACAAAGTTCAGTTTTTTTTCTAATGTAGAATTGTCTGAAGTAGTTGAAATGCTTTAAAATCAATAGACCTGCCTGTTTGGGTTACATTTGTCTATAAACCAGATGATTATCATGACCATAAATAGATTTTTTTAGGTATTGCTGTACGTATTTATACTATGTGTGACTTATCAACCAAAAGTCAGAACCATGATTAGGACTGTCTTATTACTCTCAGGTCTATATAATATTTTTTTGCAGAAACTTTGAAGCCATTTGGAGACAGAGTCTTGTCAGTATAGATTTCAAAATGACAGAAATAAGAAATGACCCCCAAAAAACAGAACAAGCAAAGAAATGGAAGGAAGAAAAATATTAATAAGCACAAAACAATTTGCTTTTATTCTTAGAGGTCTGTAAGTTCTTATTCCTAGAGACTTTCTGGGCACTTGCTGGGATTGTGTGAGGAAAACAACTAAAGAGCAGCAGTCCTGCTGCTGCTGACCCAATGGCTTACCTTCTCTGTGTGTCCTGCTTTCTTAAAGTGTTCTCTTATCTCTTTTCTGCATATTGAGCTTGATTACCTGTCCATAGCCCCTCTTGCTATGACTACATACCTTCCACATAGGAGGGAGACTGGATGATATCTTCAAAGATAACTGCATGACTAATATGATTATTAAGAAAAGTCTGATCAGGAAGTAGGATGAAGTTGCATACATACTAAAGGTGTCATGTAGATGTCAGGAAAGTAGACGGAAGGTAACTGATGGCCCTAAGAATAATCAGAACCCTGAAAAATGACAGTAGATTCTGTGGTCAACTACTTAGGAATATTAACAAATTGCTCACTAGTGACTGTTTTCGAAGGTTTCAAACCATATTATTGCTTTAAGCATCCCCCCCCTCCATTTGTCTATGGGTTGCTCTCAGGAGAATATATTGTGATTTTTACTAAAACCTTGAATCAACTATCCAGGTTACATATTTCATGACAGACCTATATTCAACATAGGATACAAAGATGACTAGGTATGATGTGTTCTTACTCTGAAGGAGTAGCATTTCTATAAGGTATAAGTGTTATTGACAAAAAAATCTGATATTTTTCTTATATATGTCAAATAAGCATATGTGAACAAACCAGTTCACCTCATCAGAATAAGTGACTATCATAGTAATGTTTGTGTGGCTTTGTAGCTGTGGATTTTTCAGTTACATTTGTAAGCAAATGTAATATATTAGTATACTGGAAAGGTTTAAGGAAATTTTTTTTTAATTTATTTTAATTTATTTTGCAATACAATTCAGTTCTACATATCAGCCACGGATTCCCTTGTTCTCCCCCCTCCCGTCCCCCTCACCTTCCCCCCAACGCCCCCCCCATTCCCATCTCCTCCAGGGCAAAGCCTTCCCCACAGACTGAGGTCAACCTGGTAGACTCAGTCCAGGTAGGTCTAGTCCCCTCCTCCCAGGCCCAGCCAAACAATCCTGCATAGGCCCCAGGTTTCAAACAGCCAACTCATGCAATGAGCACAAGATCTGGTCCCACTGCCTGGATGCCTCCCAAACAGATCAAGCCAATCAACTGTCTCACCCATTCGGAGGGCCTGATCCAGTGGGGACCCCTCAGCCATTGGTTCATAGTTCATGTGTTTCCATTCATTTGGCTATTTGTCCCTGTGCTTTATCCAACCTTGGTCTCAACAATTCTCGCTCATATAAACCCTCCTCATTCTCGTTAATTGGACTCCCAGAGATCCACCCAGGGCCTAGTCATGGATCTCTGCATCCAGATCCCTCAGTAGTTGGATGAGGTTTCTAGCACAACAATTAGGGTGTTTGGCCATCCCATCACCAGAGTAGGTCAGTTCGGGCTGTCTCTCGACCATTGCCGGCAGTCTGTTGTGTGGGTATCTTTGTGGATTTCTGTGGGCCTCTCTAGCACTTTGCTTCTTCCTGTTCTCATGTGGTCTTCATTTACCATGGTCTCCTATTCCTTGTTCTCCCTCTCTGTTGTTGATCCAGCTGGGATCTCCCGCTCCCCCAAGCTCTCTTTCCCTCGACCCTCGCCTTTCATTACCCCCACTCATGTCCAGGCTGTTCATGAAAAAAAGAATGCATTGTCAATTTCTTTTATTTTTCATTGTGGTATCACTTTTTTATTTTAATTAAGGAAATGTAAGAACTTCTGGATATTAGCAAGTTAGATAAATGCCAGAATCCACATTTATTGAGTTCAATAAATTCTGAGTATATGATACTGATAGACAAACTTGATGGTCTTGTGGAACTTATATTTTAGTACAGGGGATTGATGATATACAGATCAATAAAATTTATTAATATATTAGGAAATAGTATTTAAGAAGATAATTATAGAAGGGATGAGAACAATGAACTGTTAATTGTTGGAAGGTGGTAAGGGGTTGAGATTTTACAGAGTTTATAGATTTGTAGATTTTGTAGAAAGAAGACTGAGTAAAGAGTAAATGATAAAATAAAATGAATTCTGAATTACTATAAAAGTGTCAGCTGTCTTCAAATGGTAATTTTATCAACATGTTACCCAACATATATTGCTACCATAATTCCTTGCATTTCATAAACAATAGCACAGGGAATGGTAATAACAACACAAAGAACAGTGGTCCTGATATTCCATATAATTTTGTTCATGTGACAATGAAAATAGTCTGCCAATTGCTGAGTCACTTGAGTTAATTTGAGAAGAAAGTCTAAGAAAGCAAGACTAGAAAAGGCCTTCCTACAAGCCATGATAGAATAATGACTAGAAGTTTGTTTTGGAAGTTAAGAAGCCTGGGTGCAAAACCCAACTCTAGTGTTATCTTTGGAAGTAAATTGGAATAGTTAGTACATTCCCAAAGTTTTAGTTTGTCCATCTTTATAGTGGGAAAGACAGAGCAATACTTTATATGTTTGAAAAAAAATAAATTATGGATTCAGTTTTGAGTATTACTGTTTCCCACATGTGAATTGTATCATAGAAGTCATCTCTTGAAATATGGTAATAAGCTTTGCAGCTTTGAGCAAACCACATCATTGCTGAGTATCATTTAATAATAACCTTATCCTTAAAAATCTTGTCATGAGAGAATGCTTACATAAAAAGCCCTTCAACACCTGAATATGCAACACATATATAAAGTGTCTCCCAAGTTCCCTACATGAGAATAAATAAAAGGATGAAAGCTGAGGTGAATTAATTATAAAAGAGTAAAATTTTAATGAAACATTGAATCAAGTCTGTTTCCTTAAGAAAATCAGTAAAAAATATTTCTGAACTTGTGGAAAACAGAGAGATGACAAACATTACGAATGCTGAGAAAGAGAAAGGAGACATAATGATGGAGTTTTTGGGTTTATATAAAAAATGTATAAGGATAGTATGGACAATACAGAATTATACATTACCCTAGGAAACTTG